CAAGTTTCATTTGAAATGTGATGATTAGTACTTGAGATATCAGTGGAAAAACCGAAAATTGACTAATCATTATGCAAATTAGGTCATTAGTATCCACGGATTATTACCAAAAACTAATCAAAACCTAGCATTAGTTCAGAGCATCTATGTACCAAGTTTCATCAAAATCCAATGAGTGGTTGTTTAGATATCAGTGGAACAGTCATGGAACCACTAAAAAATAGCTAATTATCATGCAAATTAGGTAATTAACGAGCATGGATTTTTACCAAAACCTAATCAAATCTGCGCATATGTTCAGAGCATCTATGCACCAAGTTTCATCAAAAACCGATGTATGGTTCTTGAGATAGCAGTGGAACAGTCGGACACACATACACACACACATACACACATACACACATACAGACACACTAACTGCAAAGACTCCCATTTTGTGCTTCGCACATGGGAGTCAAAAATCATATTATGTACATAAGAGAAAATTATTTTTAGAAATGGATAACATACTTTTTAAAGGTCATGTTATTCGTTATGACTCGGTCACAACTCATGAAAGTCATACACATCTTAGCCATTTGTAGGGGTACTTTTAATATAGTAAAGAAATTAAGATTGTTATGCCAAAAGCGTTCCAGGTCAATTTGTTTTCTGAAATCTTCTGGCATGGGCAGCTTTTAAGTTTATTTTATCCATGATTTTCACGAAAACTGATTAAACTATTTCAAATGAAATTTTGTACATGTACCTGTGTAAAATAACAAGGTAGACAGGTGGCTGGTTAAAAGCATGACAAGCAGCATATTAGCTTACATTTATTAGAGAAAACTGATATTTTGTTTTAAAACAAGTACCATGTGTGACTGTATATTAACAGTATTTATACATAAAATGTTGAGTAGCTAAAACTAGAAATATCATATTTGCTCCATTAGTTGCACATATGCTTTAGGTGCAATGATGATTTATTGTAAAATACTTTATTTTAGCTGTATTTATTTTTCAATGAAATGACTTTTGAGGTGTTTTTTTATGAAATTTATTTCCACTGAAGTTGAATGTAAAATGTAGGAAAAAAAGTTATATTTACCCCGGTAATGGATTTTATTTTCACTGAATCACCCCTTCAGCGAAAATAGAGAAAACAAATTCTAAGTGAATACAACAAATTTAATTTTTAGTTTATATTGGGGATGCGAAAGTCAGATAAACAAGGAAACAGTCTCATACATGTTCTGTGTAAACTACAAGACACAGCTCTGTTACAAGTAAAAGTAAGAAAGCATAGCAAAAGTGTGAAAATGGCCAAAATAACGTTTTTAAAGTCGAGAACAATTTTTTTTGAGTAGAACGGTACTTAAAATTCAGAAAAATATTATCAGGGCAGTCATAATCTCAGTCAAATGATGCACATGATCAACACGGCATATGAAAATCAGAGGCACAAATTAACCTAAGATGTTCCTGATAAAAATTCCAGTTCCAGTGCCAGCATATTGTGACAAATGTCTGCAGATATAATTAAATCCATTCCTTGCAATCAAATCCGCTG